CCATGTCTTAAATATTCTTCTGTAACCTAAATTGAAGTCTATTCAGAGAGTTGCAGGAAGATGTTATCATTGCCCAGTTCTGAGTGCAGAGTGGCGGGTAGTAGGTAGTCATCTGTGTTTGATGAAGCAACTGCTTTTAAGAATACCATAACACCATGTCCCTTGTGGCATATTCGCAGTTCCTGGAAGGATCTTGTGTTTCCCTACAGCTTCTTTGAGGTTCTAAGTAGAGGGCGTAGGACGCTGGCAGAAAGTGCGTAGATCATCAGTGTCACAAGTGGATCACCTTCAGCAGAACATCATTACCCCAGAAACCGTTAGCCACCAGTTATTCACCTCCCTCAAAGACAGCCACTACTACGACTTCCAAAGACATTATTTTGGACGGATTTTATACTCGTGTGTGTGTGTCTTCTTTTCATCAACATTGTGCTTACTATAATGATCTGTGTTATAGTTTGGGGGGGTTGTTTTGTTTTTCTGTTTTTGTTTTTGGGTGTTTCTTTGTTTATTGGGATTTGAACTCAGGGCCTCAAGCTTGCTAGGTAAATGTTCTATTACTTGAGCCCCACCCCAGTCCTTTTTGCTTCATTTGTTTTTCAGGTAAGGTCTTGTGCTTTTTCTGGGGCCAGCCTTGGACCTAGATCCTTGTACCTCCACCTCCTGAGTGACTGGGATCACAGATGTATGTCACTATACCTGGCCTAATACTCCGTTCTTAGAATAGACAACTTTTGTTTTTACATTTGTTTCTTGATGGGCAGTTTGGCAATATCTTGTTTTTGGCTATTATAAATACTGGTGCTATGAGTATTCTTGCTCATGTCTTTTGGGGACAAAGTACGCATTCCTGCTGGGTCTTTCCTGTGTTCACGTAGTCCCTGTGTGTGCCTATATTCAACTTTGGTAGATATCAAAATAGTGGTGCCTACTAATGAGTGGGAGTGTGTAAGAGCTCATGTCTACTTTCTGTTCTCTGCCTTTCATTTTGGCATTTGGTGGGTGTGCAGTAGCATCTCAGTGAGCTTGACTTTGTATTTTCCTAATAATCAACGCACCTGAGCACCTTCTCATCCACTTCAGATCTTCTGTGTGCCCTTTTGTCTTCTTCAATGTGGGGTGCCCTCTGCTTCTGGTTTGTCATTTTCAGCATAAAAATGGTACACTTCTGATCTTTGCCTTACCATCTCTTCTTAGTTGTTTATTTTTCATCACAAAGGAGAAGTAGTTGAATTCTGTCTATCCATTCATCTGTTGATAGACACCTGGGTTATTTCTACCACGTGGCTATTGTGAGTCATAAATGTCTCTAGGCCCTGCTGTCAATTCTCTGGGGTATAGACCTAGGAATGGAATTACTGGGTCATATGTCTGTAGCTATCTCGCACTCCTGAGCTGCCCGGGGCTTGGAACGCACCTCAGTTGACCTGAAAGCACGCTTCTGGCTTCTTCTTTCCAAGAGTGCTTCCTTGGCAAATCACTGGCAGCTAAATCCTTCACTCAGGACAGTTCCCACCCCAAGACCTGAACAGGGTCTGGTTTGCCCCGTTGGAATTTTGAGCAACTGTACCCATTCTTCTTCCAACCCCTCCTCCTGTCTCCTGGTCTCTAGTAGAATGTGTACTTGATCAAACAGCCAACTGAATCGTGGGTGCTTCAGCTAGGGCTAGCATCCTGTCAAGGACCCTTTCCAAGGGAACAGAGTTGTCACTTGTTGGTTTTGGATCGTAAATATTTTCTTTTCAGTGAGGAGTCTCCACGTTATGATCACCATACTCCCTGGTACTTCTCTCTTTCTACCAGTCCCTGCCTTTTATTTATAAGGGTCTAAAAAAATCTCCAAGGACCAGCAAATAAGTGGTTATAAACTCTCCAGGCAGGAGTAACAGTAGGTACAGTTGCCACTTCTAGGGTTTCCTCCTGTTCCTTTTACTTCCCTACTCTTAGCATTCCTCTTTTCTCCCAAGATGATCTAGAATGTCTTGTTAAGGACTATTAACCAGTAGAACTAAGAGAAGCAAGATCAAATGTACAGAATGTATCTGGCGTAGGAGTTTATAGGCAAGTTTATAAGAGCAAGAACTTCTTAACCCAGACTTGGCTGGAGTGCCCTTGACTGGCAGTTCATAGGTACCAAGTCCTGTATTGAATCTCCTCACTTTCAGCTGGCAGCACAGGCCTCTGCTTCTCAGGAATGTCCCTTCCTTCCTAGGGGTGGGGAAGAGTTGGATCAAAGCAACACTTAACCTCTACTTCTTTAGCAGGCACAGTGTGGACTCCCAGAAGCCAAGTTGGCAGGTCAAAGACAAAGACCAAGAGCATGGGAACTGACCTTGGTGGAGCACCTGCAGCAGTCAGGAGCATGCCAGCTGTTGTGTTGCTGCAGGGCCCTTGGTGTCTCCATTCACAGACAAGAAGGCAGGGCTCACAGTCTCCAGCTATCAGGCAATTAAACTGATTTCAAAGCACATTCTTTGTCTCCAAAGCCCATTCTTTGATTCTTCAGTGGTAGAAAATGGAAGCCTAATTCCTTGAATTCCTTGCATTCTGTTTTGGAGACTGGCTCTGAGGTCATCTGTCTCAAACTTTCTAGATGGGTGTATTTCATTAGACTCCATTGGTCCTAAGAGCTAGAAGGAGAAGTGTACTTGCTAGACTAGGGCCCTGGGATGTACAAGAGTCTAGGTTTCCAGAATATCTTAAAATTTGCTTTCTCATTTTAATAATGATCTCAAAATTAGATATAAGCATGTAAGAAAATCATCACTTCTTCCCTAGCAGTGTTTGACACTTGCATTTATGATTAAGTGTGCACTGCATAGAGTTGAAGGGCATCACAGACAGCTGAGCCTTTGTGGGAATTTAGTGGAGAGCATAGAGTCACCTTTTGACACAGGCAACTTAGATGTGCCTGAGTCCAGAGAGCCTGGCTTCAGTGTGACCACACAGCAAGTAGAACTGAGCCAGGTCTCACATTAGACAAAGGACTCACAACATATCATGAACAAAAAAACCCATAAATATGCAATAAAATTTTTTGCCAAGGGAATTTTTTAAAAGAAGTGTTTAAGAATTATATTTTGGAGTACTTTCTTATAGTATTTGGTACACTCAACTGATAAAGATTGAGACTGTGTTTGGCTTTTTGTTAGTTGACTAGGATTGCCTAGGTATGGTTTTCCTCATATTTACCCTCCTTGGGGAACTTTGAGTTCTTTGAATCTCTGGATTGATGTCTTTCATTGGTTTCCAAATCTCTTTGAGTACTGCCTCTACTCCATTGTCTCCTATCTTTCCACTGGGGCTGCCGTGCTGCAGATATCTGCCTTCCTTGTGTCTCTCACACTCTTTTTTGGTCTTTCAGATTGAGGTCTCTTCAGGTTCACTAGCCCAATCTCCTCTTCTTTCCCAAAGTTTTGTTGATTCCATGCAGTTCTTAATTTCAGATATTGTACCATGGTTTTTAAAGAGAGATTCCAATTGTTAAAATTCTTCATATTTTCATCCATTTTGTGCATCTGTTTCTCTATTTCTTTAACATATTAAAGTTATTTTAAAGTCCCTTTCTGAATCATCTGTGCATTTTTCTATTGCCTGTTTTATCTTTTGAGGTTTAGTTATTCAATGTTTTTTCAGAGCATGCCTCATGATTCGTGACCTGATGTGTTTCCAAATTTTTCTATAGTTACAGTAGATTTAAGAAGCTGAGCTTGAAACCTAAGTAGCTGTGTGGGGTTTTGACTAAGGACACTGCACAGTGGGGGAGAAGAGAAATGAAGCATAGAGGCAGGGGGAGGTGAGGGCACCTGGGGTTAGAGAGGAGCTAGGACAAGAGGCAAGGAAGGAGGAGGCAGACAGGGTGTCCAAGGGGGCAAGGAGTAAAACAGATTCTTGACTCTCGGGATGAGGTACCAGCCACAGTAAGGGTGGGGATGAGGGTCAGACACATGAGGCCTTTACTCACAAAGTGCCAGAGCATTGTACAGCCTCACTGGCCATCCTGCTTCGATGTCTCCAGGCTGCAAGCCAATTCTATCTAGATGATAGCCACAGGACAGCAGGCAGAGGGAGCAGGCCTCTTACCTCTCTTCCCCTTGAAATGCAGGTTACCAGGAAAATGGCCAGTGGCACTGGGATTCACCCTGGTGCCATGCTCTTCTGCATGAAGGCACACTGAGAAGACACTGTGTTGAGCTAGTTCTAAAACATTAGGTGTTACTTTAACTGTCCTCACAACCCAAAGAAATAGGTACCATTGTGTCAGCACCATTCGTTCTACAAAGGAAGAAGCAGAAGTTGGGAGCTTGTCCGTGGGGTGTTAGGGCAGCAGGGTGAGGATCTAGACCCATCAGTCTTGTCAAGTCTCCACAGTCTCCTATGCAACTTCTTCCTACACCAGGGAGGAGGGAGGACTGCAGTGCCACTCAGTTCCCTCCACATCATTCCTGTCCATTCCACTCACCCCACGTTCTGCCTCACGCTGCCTTGGTCTCTGCCTCCATGCTCGCTGCTTTTATTTGCTTTTTTACAGGCTGGGTCATTACTCTTGGAAGTAGAACACTGACCCATAGTGGCCAAGATGAGCTAAAAGGAGAATTCAGCACTACTCAATGCAAGACTGAGGCACTGCCGGCTCCAGAGGCTGAGGTTTGCATGGACTGGTGCCTGGTGTCCTGTTTTACTAAAGAGGTCTAAGCTTCACATATGCTTTGAGTGTTCAGCCACAACTAGCATAAGAGATTCTTTTCTTAAGGAAACCTGATAGTCCAGAAAACAAATCAAGATTGAATTCTGATGTATTGGACCCACCTTCCTATTTTATGAATTATATAATTCACTCTTAAGGCAGTTTTCATGTCAGGTTTGTACAACTTGATAAACTATCAAGAGAAGACCATATAGCAAATTCTCGCTGCCAAATAATACAGACTTCAAGAGATTAGCATAGTATCATAAAATAACATTCCAATTCAGCCTTCAGCGGAGTGCATCTCACCCACCTGTTATCCATGTGTCACTTGGAATGTCTTCTATTATACATTTTTCTTCTCGCTCCCCTACATGGAAATAAAAACCAGCTGAAAGTGAAAACATAAAACTTAAAAGAAGTGTTAGCATTTGCATTTCTGTTACTTTAGCCACTTCTGACGGTACTTTCTTTTAAGTGAATCGGTTGCAGGCAGCACTGCTTATTGGGTGTTTGTATTTCACCTGATACTTTTGTAGAATTGATTTTTGTGAGAAGTGACATATGGTGCCTACGCTTGGGCAGGTGATTGCAGCAAATCCCAGTGAAAGATAAAAAGACACCTGGACCTTGGGACCTTTCCAAGCATGATGGCCTTAGAGTTCTTTTTGGTTTGCTACTTTTTAAAGATTTTGAATTGTTCTGATGAAGTGACAGGCAGTGTCAGGCCAGGGAAATGAGCTGGAGGAAGCCCCAGTACCCAGCACTGCAGGGGCCTCATGATGCAGGCCCCAGTGCCTGCCTTTGTGGCTAATCTGACATGGCCGTTTTCTGGTTGTCTCTGCTGCTTGGCAGGAAGTGGGGAGGAATGAAAGGAGGGAAGGACAGAAGTGTGCTGATGTCAGGAGAGGAAGTAGGATGTAGACGTCTGGGTTGCTGAAATGAAAATGTTCTAGACTGAGAAGAGGTGAAAGCCTGGATTTAACTGAAGCCCTACCCTGACAAACTCAAAAAATAACAAGTGACAATCACTGAGCAGTTATTTAGGTCCTTTCAGTTTTGCCATCCAGTTTCCTTTTTCAGCCTTTCATTTTGAAATATTTGTAGGCTTTCAAAAGCTGCAAGAATAGTAGGAAGATGTCCTGGGTACCATCACCCAGGCCCTTCAACATACCATCTTCATGAAGAGGTAGCTTCTGAGACAGATCAGAAGGATATGGTTCTCCATATGGGATATGGGGCACTAGGGATATTGCTGTGTTTTCTTTTTTGTCTGATTTGGGTATTGGGATAATGCTGACCTCATAGAATGAATTTGGGAAGGGAACTCTTTCTGTACTTTGGAATAGTTGAGAAAAATTAGTACTAGGTCCTATTTAAAGATTTTGTAAGATTTGACAGTGAAGCCATCCAGCCCTGAGCTTTTCTTTAAGAGTCTGTTATTAACTCAGTCTTGTTACTTGTTACTGGTCTGCTCAGGTTTCCTATGTCTCCTTGGTTTAATTTTGGTAGTTCGTACATGTCCAGTAATGTATCCATTCCTTCCAGGTTTTCCAGTTTGTTGGCATATAGTTGCTCATAATGGTCCCCAGTGATCCTCTGTATTTCAACATCATTTGCAGTGCTTCCTTCTTCATCCGTAATTTTGACTATTTGGAACTTCTCCTTTTTTCTTGATTTGTCTAAAGGATTGTCAATTTTGTTTATCTTTTTAAAAAGCCAACTCTTAGTTTCATTGAGCTTTTGTTTTGCCTTTAAAGTTTCTATTTTATTTGTGTGCTGATCCTTATTTCTTTCCTTCTACTAAGTTGGGTTTGCCTTGGTCTTGCTTTTCTCATTTCTTGAGGTTCATTATTTGGTTGTTCATTTGAGTCTCTATGGTTTTTGATTGTAGGCAGCTCATCAAAAACTATATAGCTATAAACTTCTCTCTTAGTATGGCTTTTGCTATGTGTCCCATAGGTTTTGGTATATGTTTTCATTTTCATTTGTTTCAAGAAAAATACTTAATTTCACTTTTGTTTTCTTCATGGACCCACTCATTGTTCATAAAATGTTTAACTTCCATCTGTTTGAACATTTCTAAAATTCCTCTTGTCTTTTTCTGTTTTATTCCATTGTGGTCAAAGGAGATACAGACTAAGGTTTTAACTTTTTTAAATTTGTTGAGGCTTGTTTTGTGACCTAACATATGGTCTGTGCTGAGAATATTCCATGTGCCAATGAGAAGACCATGTATTCTGCAGCTGTTTGATGAAATGGTCTGTGAATGTTAGATCTGTTTGGTCTGCAGTGTAATTTATTTTGATGATCATTATTGATTTTTTTATCTGGATGACATACCCATTGATGAAAGTAGACTGTTACAGTCCACAGCTGTTGTTACATTCGATCTAATAACATTTGCTTTGTGTAAATGGATACCCCAGAATTGGGTACAAACATATTCACAGTGATTGCTTCCTTTTGTTGAGTGAACATCTTTTCACTCTTTACAGTTTTCAACTTTAAAGTCTTTATTATCTGATATTAGTATAAATATTCTTGCTTGATTTTGGTTTCTGTTTGCCTGGTATATCTTATATACCCTTTCACTTTCAGTCTATGTGTGTCTTTACTGAAGTGAGTTTCTTCTATGCAGCATATTGTTGGTTTTAGGCATTTCTTTTTGTTTGCTTTGTTTCATTTTGTTTTTTGAGACAGGATCTCCCCACGTAGCCCAAGCTGGCCTCAAACTTGCAGTCCTCCAGCCTCAAGTGCTAGGATTGCAGGTGTGCACCACCATGCCTGGCTTAATTTTTTTCTTAATCCAGTCATCCAGTCTGTATCTTTTAATTTGAGAATTTAATCCATATACATTCAGTGTTATTATTAGTAAGGACATGCTCCTGTCATTCTGTTCATTTTTCCAGTTGTTTCTTCTTGCTCTTTTATTCGTCTTTGTGATTGTTGGTTTTCTGTGTTGATAGCAGTTCATTATCTGTCTCTTTTGCATATTTGCTCTACTGTTGAGTTTTTTATAATTTTTGCATGTTTTCCTGATGGTAGTTATTTTTCTTTCACTTTAGTATAGGACTCTGTGAATCATCTCTTGGAGGTTGATCTGATGGTGATTAATCCCTCAGTTTTATTTTTCTTTCATTTCTGAAGAACACCTTTGTTGGATATTGTATTCTTTGTCAACAAGTTTCTCATTTCCAATTTTGACTATATCTTCCCATTCTCCTGACCTACAAAGTTTCTGCTGAGAAGTCTGCTGTTAGTCTAATGGGAATTCCCTTATGAATGACTTGATGCTTTCTCTTCCTATTTGTAGAATTCTGTCTTTGTCTTATTCTTTTGAGTTTGACTATAATATGCTTTGGAGAGGATTTTTTTCTGGTCGTCTGTTAAAGGTACTTTGAGCTTCCTCAACATAGATTTCAATATCTTTCCCAAGGTTTGGAAAGTTTTCGGCGATTATTTCATTGAGTATATTTTTCTGTGCCCTTTCCCTTCTCCTTCTGGAATACCCAAAATATAAATGTTTGCTCACTTAATGGTACCCCAGAAGTTGTGCAGGCTTTCTTTGCTCTTTTTATTTATTTTATTCTTTTAATCTGATTGGGTTATTGAAAAAAAAAAAACTGTCTTCAATCTCATAAATTCTTGCTTTTGCCTGATCAATTCTTCTGCTAAGGCTCTCCACTGTAATTTTTTTTTCATTTATTGAGTTCTTTAACTCCAACACTTCTGATAAGTTCTTTGTTTATTTTCTTGTTTGTTTTGGGTTTTGTGGGGGTTTTTTGAGCAGGGTCTCCCTGTGTAGCCCTGGCTGTCCTTAAGCTAGTGATCCTCCTGTCTCTAGCTTCCAAGCGCTGGAATTAGAGGTGTGTGTCACCATGCCTTGCTCTGATAGGTTCCTTTTAATGATCTCTATCTGTTTGCTGAGTTTATCATTTATATTGTGAGTTACCATCCTAATTTCATTGATTTGTCTGTATGTATTCTCTTACATCTCGTTAAGTTTCCTTAGAAACATTCTTTTGAATTCTTGGACAGGCAACTCTTTGATTTCCTTTTCTCTGGGGTCTATTTCTGGGGAGCTAGTATGTCCTTTTGCAAGTATCATGTTACCTTGCTTTTCATGCTTCTCCTGTCCCCATGTTGATATTTGTGTACTGGTGGGCCAGTTGCCTTCCCAACCTTAAGAGTGACTTTCATGGTAAAGTATTTCTGCTGGTGCTGTGTCCTAAGGTGTGGGTCAGACATGCTGCATTGGCTTTGACTACAAGTGGGAGCTTTAGTTTGGGATCTGTGCAGTTTTTTCAGCTGTTATAAATATTGATGATGTCTGTGGGTATCCCAGGGGCCCAACTGCAGGGTTTTGGGACTGCAGCACCAACTAGGATGCAGCTCCCTTAAAGTTTGGTTTCCCTTCAGCTCTGGGTGCAGGGTACCCAGTTGTGGGTGTTGGCACCTGTCAGTTCCCAGGTGGTATGAGGTTGGGGCCACTCTGGTGGGCCCAGATGGGTGTGGTGCTACATGCCTCATCAAAATGACTCCTTGGTCCCTGGGCTTCAGGGATCAAGCACACTGAATGGATGCAGTGTTCACAGGCATGAAAACATTAATCTTGTACATCTCATCAGAGCCTTTGGGTCACCCGGAGCATTGCCAATTAGCAGTAATATTTTTAAATGAATCTTTGTTTCTCATCAGTAGGTCTCACCAGTAGACTAAAAGTACTCAGTAAGCCATTGTGAACTGATTACTGTCACCCAGGCTTCTTGGTCCACTTATAGAGCATGGTCTGGGTAGATTCAATATAGGACCTTAGGATTTCCAAAATGCTAAAAGAACACTGGCTTCCACATAAAGTCACCAACTGCACTAGCCCCTAACCAGAGTCGCCTGTCCTTTGAGGCACTGAAGCCAGGTACATGATATGCTGGATGGCACCTTCCTCCCATAGAAGGCTGCTTTATCTGGACTGGAAATCTGTGGTTCAGTGCAGCTACCTTTATCAGGTATCGTCACTAATCTAGATAACTTGCTGCAGCTTCATGCCTTTTTATACCATGGAGATGGCTTCTTTCCTGGAACTGCATGAACCAACCACTGGTTGTTTCTAGCTTTTGATTTAAAGGGAGAGATGTGTGATTCCTCCTTTCACTTGATCACTTAGAGGCCATTGTGGGGTTATTAATTTGCTTAATTCAGTATCATTGTGTCCTCAAGCAATAGGGAAGCCCGAGGAGAGGGAAAGAGATGGAGAATGGCCAGAGGAACAGTCAGAACACAAATAGCCTTTGTGAATTAAGTTCACTGTCTCACTTTGGGTGTGGCTTATGGCACCCCAAAACAATTTTCAGAGTGCCACCAAAGATGACTGATCATAGATCACCATAATATAATATTATGATTATATAATAATCATAACTGATCAGATATAATACT